TGGTTGTGGTTGACATATGGTTGTGGATTATATTTTTGTGTAATTGATTGCTGCTCCTGACGCTGCCTTATGCAATGATTCGCCGCAGTCCTTGTAAGGTTGTTAAGGTTTTAACGTGATCGATGACGGATTGAAGGTTGTGCAATGATTTCAAATTTCTGCTGGGTAATTGATGGCGCAGCGGGAGATAAATTGCCATAGAGTCGTTGCGTGTGTTGGAGGCTGGCGGTGAATTTCACAAAAGCGGTTGCATGGCGTCAGAGGAAACAGCGGGAATTGATGTATTTAGCAAATTAGTGACTGTCGTGTTGGTAATGGAGTTCGTAATTTGAAAGTCATGCATAGGGACTGCCATGGGAGGTGAGGTAATGCAGCGGAAGTGGGTAGTCATTGTCATGCAAGGCGTAATGATTTGTCGTCGTGAATGTGTCATGTTTTGACTCGTGTCGCTCGTTGTCATGGCGTAATAACCGGGGAAAAAAGACTTAAGGACCACTTAAGTAACGGGTGTCGGGAGGGAAAGAGCTAATCTATCTCTCGCTCTTTCAGAAATGCCTCTTGGTTGGGATATATTAAACCCCGAAGACTCTTAAGCTTTTATGTTACTCAGATAACTCGCCCACACGCCCGTCCCCTCCTCTTGCCTTCCTCTGACGCCCTTCCTCCCTTCCTCCCTCCTCTCTCCTACCTCCTCTCTTTCTCCTTCCTCCTACCTCCCTTCCCCATCCCTTCCTCCCTCCTTCCTCCCACCAGCCATCTCCTCTCTCCTCTCTTTCTCCTCCCTCCCTCCCTTGCACCTCCCTCCACTCTCCCTTCCCCTCCCCCACTCCCCTCCCTCCCACGTCCCTGAGGGACCGCGCTCAAACAAACTGCTTTCATTAGTTTTGAAAGTTTAAACGAGTGATGTTGCTTTACTTCTCACGGTGACCGTAATGCTTGGGTGCGAGACGCGTTGCCTGGAGATGACCGATGTTCTGAGATGCTCTCTCTCTCTCTCTCTCTCTCTCTCTCTCTCTCTCTCTCTCTCTCTCTCTCTCTCTCTCTCTCTCTCTCTCTCTCTCTCGCTCTCGCTCTCGCTCTCGCTCTCTCTCTCGCTCTCTCTCCCCCTCTCTCTCTGTCTCCCTCCCTTCCTCCCTCCCCCTCCCCCTTCCAATCCCCCTTCCCCCTCTCTCTCTCTTTTCCTCTTTTTTGTTTTATTTATCTTTTTCTTTGTTTTGATATTTTTTCATCACCGGTGTTTCCACTTGGTCTTCCTTTGTTTGCTGGCTCTGCTCTCTTCTCTTTCCTTCTGTTCTGTTCTCTTCTCTACTCCTCTCCGTTACTCTTTCTCGCTATCATTCCCTTCCTTTTTCAATCTCTACCTTATTTCCCCCATCATGTTTCCCACTCTCCTGCTTCCCCTTCTCCCCTCCTCTCCTTCTTCCTCCCCCTTCTCCTCCCCTGTTCCTTCTCCCTTCCCCCCTTCTCCTCCTTCCATCCCCCCCTTCTGCTCCTCCCCTCCTCCCTTCCCCTCCTCCTCCTCCCCTCCTCCCTTCTCCTGTCTTCTCCTCCCTTCCCCCCTTCTCCTCCCTCCCCCCTTCTCCTCTCTTCTCCCTTTCCCCTCCCCTCCCCTCTCCATCCCTTCTCCAAGCACTCATACACCATTACAAGCGACCTTCAAGCTTGTAAGCATCCACAAACGACACAGATTATACTCATCATCCTTATCCCAGCGGCAGCATCCCTTCTCCCGGAGGTCATGGCCGGGGAAACTCGCGAAGGGGGTTTTATGATTAAGTTACGGCCGCGCGGTAATCATTCTGGTATGCATTTGTTCGTTAATTTGTCTCTCCTTGCTTTTCCCCTTGGTGACTGTGTATGGTTTGTGGGTGGGATGTGCACGTGGGAGTGGGATGTGCGTTTTTTTTTGGTTTGATTTGTTTGG